CGCACCACGACCCCCCCCCCCAGCTAAATATCGTACAGTCCCTAAGACGGTGGGGCTGTCTTTGTTACTAGACACGACCATGATAGTCCGATCTTTATGTGAATGCAATGATTGTGTGTGTGTAATTAAAATGAACTTCGAACTTGAAGCACAGTATCTTTACACGCCCTGGGAGCAGTAATGGATTTAGCTCTTTGTATGTTTTATGCTTGTGACGCGCCCTCATTGTATTAACCGTTGCCTAATTATAATGTCTGCACAGTAGGTCTGGTGTTGACTCGATTGTTTTTGTTGAAATGTAAAACTTCACGGAGGATTGTTACCTATGGCTTCTTGTTATCTTTGTTTCACAAGGAAGGACTGCAGACAGGATTTTACATAATATTTTAGCACGTTTACCAGGTAATGTTAATGTATGACTGTTGCCTTTTTTAGCCATAACGTGGGGAGATCCTCACATGAAGACACTAGACGGTCTCGCCTACACGTTTAACGGGTTAGGAGAGTTCACCCTTGTCAAGACGAGTGGGGCCAGTGTTGAGTTCAGGCTGCAGGGGCGCACAGAGAAAGCCAACGTCAACGGTACCCAGGAAGTGGCTGAGGCTACAGTCTTCACGGCATTCGCATCAAAGCAAGAAGGCTCCTCGACGGTAACTCCCATACTTGGTTCACCAAGGACCTAAACTATTTTGTAGTATGATCGGTCTTAAACTAAAAGCATTCTTGGAATTGTCATGCTGCCTTGCTGCAAAAAAGATTGTTTTTGTGTATTTATTTTTTAAATTTGAGTTTACCAGGAGGAATTTACAAGTGGAAGGGAGGACAAAACAGGTGCATTGACACATTTACATGTTGTTCTCCCAACACCACATGTACAGTGCAAATACATATTATAATTATGATGTATACAAAACAGATATACAATATTGAACATCATGAACATGAAACAGTATACAATAAACTTCAAATGTCATACATTAAACATCAAATACTGTATCAAGGAATAAAATGCATTATTTACAAAAATTTCAATGATTCAAATATGGGTAATAATACGTTTTGGTGTTTCTTGTGGCGAAAACATTGAGCACAAACGCAGCAATTCTTTGTAAATGTTCAAACGTTAATTTTGACAGTTTTGATTTTCGTTTCATCGTTCATGAATGGTTACTGACAATTTGTTCTCACTTAGGTTGAAATTGGTATGAACAAAGACCGGACAAATATGACACTTATGGTGGATGGACGGTCCATCAACATCACTGACCTACGGCAGAACGGTAAGGTGTGAGAATTAGAAATGGATTGGAAAGAAAAGTAGTTTGTCATTAAGCCAATGACACGTTTGGCTGTTCTTACCAATTACTACCTTTTTATTCACATTTTTTAAAATCGCCCTCCTAAAGATAAAAAAAGGAAATGTATAACAATTACCTTCCAAAGGAACAAAGTTCCAAACATGTTAAAAATGCAAGATGGATAATGGAAAATGTCTCCAAAACCTAATCAGAAGTCTACTGACAACCTGTAGCAATTTCTGTAATGTTTCATGCAGGTGCGCAGCGTTTTGCCAATCTGACTCTTCAGTACAATTTCAACTCGAACCAGACCAGTGTGGTCGCCTCCTTCTCTTCGGGAATAACAGTGACCGTCACGCTCCAGAAACTCATGCTGAATGTACAGTTCGGAGCGCCGGATTCTTTCGAGAACACTACCCGAGGCATGCTAGGTATGTAGGTTACTTTCTGGTTAACCCTACCTAGACCGGGCTTTTTTTGACATGGG